TGAGCATTTATTTTCTTCGTGACTCCATTTCTGAAGTTCACAATCGCGCCTTCTTCATGACATCGCTTTTTGGCAACACATACATTTGTGAGCAGCTGTTTTCTGTCACCCAGACTGGAGTGCAGTGGCCGCTCCCGGCCACCGCAGCCTCAACCTGCTGGGCTCCGACGATCCTTCTGCCTCACCCTTCCTGTAACTGGAGCTACAGGCACACGCTACCACGCTAATTTTTGATTTATTGTAGAGATGAGGTCTCACTAAGCTTCCCAGGCAGGTCTCAAACCCATGGGCTCAGGCAATCCACTCACCTCAACCTCCCAAAGCGCTGGGATTACAGGCTGAGCCACCAAGCCTAGACTTAGCAGCTGTTTTCAGTGATGAAGCAAACGGAGAGCAAAAGTCAAACAAACATTCCTGAAGAGCACCTTGAAAACTCATTAAGAATTGCAATCACTTCCCTAGAACCAGACATTGAGAGATGGGTTTTACAAAAACAAGGTCAAACTTCCAACTAGTTTTATATTGTTCTCATCTTTCTAAACAGTATAATAAAAAAAGAAGTCTTACTTGTATATACACTCGCTATATTATATAATTTATGCGTGTCCCAGGACGATTCCTCCTTCCTCTCTGCAGCCCAGGGAACCCAAAGCTTGGGCCCCCTGCTCTCTCTGTAGGCCTCTCTCTGCGATGAAGATGCTCACCAGAGCCCTGCCCCCCTGGGGCCAAGAGTGACTAGCTCTCCTTTGAACGTCATCTCTTAAAGCAGTGCTTCTCAGCAGGTCTAAAAGACCAGTTTGCAGTGTTTGCTCTTTCATTCCCATCACAGACTGACATTTTAGTCCCATGAAATGAGTGACTAGAAAAATCCAATTAAAAATGTAAAAGAGCATGCCAGTGAGGGGTCTAACAAGATGACCGTAGAAGTCTCAACAGTGCCAAGCTGCTGTGAGCATCTCTAAATGTTTCCTTCTCAGCATCTGTTCCATCTCATTGGGAACTCCTGACCGGCACGTAGACCACAGTCTGGGCAACAGAATTACAGGACTAAGCCCCTCACGTGCTTGTGTTCCCTTCCCACTCCCTTCCCTTGCTCACGGCTTAGAATTTTATGATCTGATTTCTTCCGTAAACAAAAGGAGAGGTGGAAAACTGTATCTTTATTTGTTTCATATTTGCTTATTCAGCAGCCATTTGTGAGCACCTACTGTGTGCCAGGCAGCGAGCCATACGTGGGGACACCACAGTGGACGAGACAGACCCGGCCCTGCCTTCCCAGAGTGTTCAACTGAGGAGTAGGGGGAATGAATGTTGATTGGTGGACCAGGAGGAGTTCCCAGCAGGACTACGTGCCATGCAGAGGCTGAATTAGTCATGGAAGGCCCTCCTGGGGAAACAACATTAGTACTGAGAAATCGTGAAGGCACTAGCCTGGTAATGAAGAGGGCAGTATGCACTCCAGGCTGAGGGAACAGCATGTGCAAAGGCCCTGAGTCCGAAGACATTCTTGCAGTTTGTCTGCATTTAAAATGAACGATGTACCTACCCTCTGATGCAGCAGTTCCACTGAAGCATCCAGCCGGGACAGACACTCTGACGTTTTCTGAGGAGGGATGTCCACTCCATCTAGGCCATCGTCGTAGAAACTGCAATCAACCTAGAGTCTATGGCCAGGGGCCTGGCTGAGCAAGCCATGACTATCCAGACTTTGGTTCCAACCAGTCTCTAACACAAACAAGGAAGCCAAGCACACGGTTTGAGCAGAGGGCGAGGAGACCACTAGGGGCAGTGAGGTGGGAGGATTGAGCAGAGCCCATGGAATACTGTGGGGGACTTAACAGAGTTAGATTTTCCTCCAGGGTCTCAGGAGACAGACTACCCAGTGCCGCATTAACCACTCCCGGAAGACTGGCCAAAAAGAAGGTGCTGTCTAAATATTGCCGGTGGCGGCCATCATGATTGAAGTCTTACACCAACGACTGCATAAAACTCCTTATTCATTAGGGAGAGGCGTCAAGATAAGCAACCTGGACTTAGAGTCATCTGTGCCGGTTGCAAGACCCTAGCCAAGTGGACTGACTTTCTGAACCCTAGTTCCCACATCTTTAAAATGAGGAAAATAGCCAAGCATGGTGGTCCATGCCTGTAATTCCAGTACTTTGAAAGGCCAAGGAGAGAGGATTGCTTGAGCCCAGGAGATTGAGGCCAGCCTGGGCAACATACCAAGACCTCATCTCTACAAAAATAAAAATAAAAAATTAGCCAGGTGAGATGGTGCATGCCTGTAGTCCCAGCTACTCTGGAGGCTGAGATGGAAGAATTTCCTGAGCCAAGACGGCCGAGGCTGCTGTGAGCCTTGATGGTGCCACTGCACTCCAGCCTGGGCAACAGAGTAAGACCCTGACTCAAAATAATAATAAAAATAAAAAGAGGAAAATAACATTGCCTGTTTTCTGGGGTTGCCTTGAGGATAAAAGGTATGTGTTTAAGCACCTCATTCAGAGCCATCTATGTTTATTCTTTCCTTTTCCTCTCATTTCCTGGGAAAAGAGACTTTCAGGTTGGAGTTGCAGGAGAGACTATCCAGGTCACCAAGCAATGAAGCAAACCCTCTGGGACCCCAGCAGCCCTGATCTCAATTCAAAGTCCACCCGTTTTTTCCTCACTACATATCCTCTTGTTTTATGGGGGTGACTGAGTGAGAAAGAAGAAACCACCATAACAAAACCATCCCCAGAACTATAAATGAGCTTTAAAGAAATGAAGTTTTAAACGGCAAGGAGATACTGGTTTATGCCTAGAAGACAGACAACAAGGAATGTTCAAGAATGCGTTTGATGTAGACATGGGCAAGCGGATGAACACTCCTTGTTTGGAGAGAATGTTCATTCGTCCAGGGTACACCAACAACAGCTTGAAAAGTTTACATGCTCTTGCCCTTGGGCTCAGGGACTCCAACCCTGGGAATTTACCCAAAAAATGTACATGTACACAATGTGTGTGTTTGTGTGTGTGTGATGACAATAAACCAAGTTGCAGAAAAATATATGTGAAACCAGGCTTGGTGGCTCAGCCTGTAATCCCAGCACTTTGGGAGGCCAAGGCAAGTGGATTGCCTGAGCCTGCGAGTTCAAGACCAGCCCGGGAAACTTGGTGAGACCTGGTCTCTACAATAGATAAAAAATTAGCCGGATGTGGTAGCGTGCGCCTATAGTTCTGGCTACATGAAAGGCTAAGGCCGAAGGATCGCCGGAGCCCAGCAGGTCAGTGCTGGGGTGGCCATGAGTGTGCCACAGCACTCCAGCCTGGGCGACAGAGTGAGACTCCAACTCAGAAAATACATATGTATTTGTGTGTGTGTGTGTGTGTGTGTGTGTGTATACATGTGCACACGCATGTGCGCATGTATGGAGTATATCCATTTCTATACATTTTCTGCATGTATATATGTATACATATATTCATGACATTGTGTGTTATGTGTGTATTTGCTGCAACTTAGATGATAGCCATACAAAATCTCAAAACCACCCAAAATTCCATGAATAAGAGCCTGGTTAAATGATGGAAAACCGACTGAGTGGAACATTGCCCAGCCATAAATACAGAATAAGGAAGAACTTGATAAGCTGATGGTGAATGATCATTATTACACGTTGAAAAAAAATAGAAAAATGCAGAACAGAAGTTATAGGATGCTCCAGCTGTTTTTTGAAAGTGGGACTATATCTATTGCATATACACACCGCTGTGTACCTAAGCCCATATATGCATAGAGCTTGTCTGGAATGAACACCAGCAGGCATGGGCAGTTGCCTGTGGGTGGTAGAGCTGAGGTCTGAGGCCAGGAGTGGAAAGAGACCTTTAGCTCTATGCTTCTGTCCTGCTGGGATTTTCTATTGTGCACTTGCTACATTTTCAATAAAAATCAAGTGGATGAGCTGTGGATGAATCAGACCCTCCTCCAGGATCAGTCTCTTTCCCAGGTGGTTGTTCAGGGGATCAGTCCCTGTACTTCGGGTAGTCATGCAGAGTTTGGCTGAAGCAGAAGACAGGGATAAGCAGGTCCCCCCATGAGAAGAGCATAGAGTATGTCTTGGAGTTAAGTGACATCATTCTGCAGAGAAAGAATGGTTTCATTTAACACCTTCAACCCAAAGTCCTGACGGACCTTTAAGCTGCTACACACCCATCCTGGACAGGCAACATGATGCCAACTGCAGGAAAAAAAAGGGGCCACCCTCTCTGCCTGTCTTTCCCTCCCCTGCTTTTGATCGTGTCCTAGGATGTCAAAAAAAAGTACAACTGCAATGAAAAAATTGCACCTTAAAATCAGCCTCAGTGTCATGGAGACAGTACAGAATCTGTGGTGACCCGGGAACCCTCATGGGAAAGCAGACATGGTGTTGCTGAATCATCCTGTCAATTCTGGGATTTGTTTTTTGTTTATTTGTTTGTTTTTGTCACTCAGATTTCTGTGTGTGAAATCTCCAGATTTTTCTCCTTTTTTTTTATTTTAAAGATGTGGGTTACAATTCAGGGTTGGGTATACAAATGGTCCTTGTCAAGTTCAGGCCTCCCTTTGGTCCCCACTTTGCCCGGTTTGAGATCAGTTACCCTTATTGAATGTGCTTCTCCTCCCTCCCCTGGCAATTTCCCGCTACTGCCAATCCGTTTCTTACAGTATAATGGTAATTATTCAGGGTCCGCTTATGAGTGAGAACATGTGGTACACAGTTCTTTGGTTCTGTGATAGATCACGGAGTATAATAGACTCTAAAGGATTTTTCAACTAATGCAGCTTATTCAGATTTTCCTTAAAAACACGCAAGCCATGAAAAATATGTCTATGGGCTTACTAGCTGACAAGCTACCAGTTGCAAATCCTGGTTTGGAAGCTGATAACATTGCATGCTCTCTCGACTCAGTAGCTCTCCTGTGGGTGATAAGGACGCATCCTAATCAAGTGTCCTTGGTGCTTTTTTTTCCTTCCTTTGAAGGCATCAAGACGGAAGACAGCCTGAACCATTCCCCTGGCCAGAGTGGATTCCTCAGCTATGGCTCCAGCTTCAGCACCCCGGCCGCTGGACAGAGCCCGTATGCCTACCAGATGCACGGTCAGTGTGGGCTGCGGCCCCTCCCTACCAATCCCTAAGGCACCACCTGACTTGGGTCCACGCATTCATTCATTCATGTATTCTGCAGATGCATTGAGCACCTACTGTGTGCCAGACTCTTTCTCGGGTCGTGGAGGTTAGTGGTGGGCAAAAGAGATATGAGATCTGAAAAAAGAGGTAAGAGTGGCCATCATGGCCACTACCTGGCAGCGGGGAAAGACTGATGATATAAACAAGACAACAGACAAGCTGGATCATTGTGGAAGGGTTTGAATGTAACAAAACAAATAAATTTGGTGTTTGGCTGGAGATTGATGAGCACTTGGGTAGTCAGGGACCTTAGGTCAAGTCATCAGGGGAGGCACTTTGAAAGGATGGCACTGGACATCGACCCAAAGAGTGAAGCGGTACAGCCATGTGTACGTCTGGGGGGAGAGCATTGCAGGTAGAGGGAACAGCAAAGGTTGCGCAGAGGGAAATGTCTTGGTGTATCTGAGGCACAACGTGGAGGGGTGGAGGCTGGAGCAGAGTCAGAGGGCACATAGGAGGAAGTCTCGGGGAGAGAGCCAGGCTGAGTCGGGAAGGAGTCGGCTTGTGTTTCAAGTGTGATGGGATGGGGACAGCATCTGTTGAGACTCAGAGCAATGTCAGCTGCTGGAAACGTTGGATAGGCAGGTAAAGAAGCTACTCCAGGCAGAAGGTTCAAGGCTGTGCATTCCAGAGGGTGGCCTCACACAGGGAAGAAAGAACTGCCACATGTAACCCCCACCCCACGTGACGAAAGGAGCTGGCTCGCTGGGTTCTCTGGGCCTCACCGCCACCCTTCTCTGCTCTGACGCCCTCTTGGGAGTATGTTGGAGTCGATGCATGGATCGAGGTCCGGTGGCAGGAATTTCAAGGACCCTTGTTGTGCTCATTCTTTCTCCCTCTTAGAAGTTGGTAAAAATGATCATCAGAGGTCTGAAAAGTAAAATGGAAAAAATGAAAGGGTGATGGCAAGGACGCAGGCTAATGCCTGACTGGACTTTCTTTCTTTCTTCTTTTTTTTTTTTCTGAGACTAGGTTTCACGATGTTGCCCAGACCAGTCTCAAACTCCTGGACTCAAACCATCCTCCTGCCTCAGCCTCCAGAGTAGCCAGGACTATAGGTCCACCAACATACCCAGCTTTGATTGTACTTCTTTTGTTAAAAAAATGTTTTTTCTTGCAAGTATTTTCACTTCATCTTTTTTATTTTAACTTTTTTTTAAAGAAACAATAAAAACAGTTGTCAAGGGCAGACTCTCATGAAAAAAAGAGAAAGGGACAGGGAACGATCTCAGGGCTATGTGTAGGGAAAGCGGGTGACGAGCTCTAAGGCCCAGTCCTGAAATAGCCTCCCGGGAAAGTGTGCATCACAGTTGCTGGCAACGCCATCAGCCAGCCTTGACCAGACTCGCTGGGCGCCAGGTGACATTATGTGAATCATCTCATACAACCTTCATGACATCACAAAGCGGTGGTACTGATATTATTCCCATTTTATAAACCAGGAAACCGAGGCTCAGAAGGAATGACTGATTTGTTCGACATCAGAGCAAGGAGTTTAGATTTTACTACTGGTGTCATGGGAAAGGGACTATGTCGAGTTCCTTGGGCGTCTGGTAGAATCCCAGCCCCCAGCCTCACTGCAAAGCCCATGCTCAGAGCCACGAAACACTCCTGCCACCCCTGTTTCCGCTGTCACCTCTGTGTCCCCAACAGTGGCCTTTTTGAGCCCTATGGGATGGGATCTGCTGCTGGGACCCATCTCTCTAAATGGAAAGTACATTATGGCACCAACCCCGATAGTAGAAGCTTGTGAAGACCCTGAACTTGAACTTGTATTTGCGTCCATCTCAAGCCTGTTTCTTTCTGGCTCTTCAAATAGAAACTGAATTCACTGCAGCCTGAATAGCAAATACAGTCACCCTCCCCATTCTGACATGCCCTCCCCAGCCAGATGCAGAATATGGGATCTAAGTTATGTAGAGGTGGTGCCCCATTCATTCATTCTTTCATTCATTCTATACCGCTGAGCACCAGTTTTGTACCTGGCATTCTTTTAGGCACAGAGGGCACAGCAACCAACAAAGAGGGATCCCTCGTGGGGAAAGACAGTAAATAATCAACAAATAAATCGATAGCTACAGATTTGAATAAAGCCTGTGAAAGACAAAAATAGAGCAGCATGAGGGACTGTGAGCAGAGGGGTAGTGGTGATGAACTTTAACCAGGTGTTTAGGGACCTCCTAATGAAAAGAGGCTGCCGTGGTGGGTGGTGGGCTGAAGCCAAGACAGTCCAGGTGGGGGGAAGTAGGGAGCAAAGGGTTGAGGCAGGAAGAGGCTGGCAGTTTGAAGGAGACCCACGGACCAAGAGTACAGTGAGTGAGGGGAGATGAGATGGAGAGTGAGATGACAGTCCGCCATGCCAGGACACATAGAATGATGCTATTTCTTCTCTGGTCCTTACAGCAACCACGTGAGGTGGGTGCCCTCAATCTGCCCTAACAGGTGATGGAAGTAAGGCCCAGAGAGGGCAACTGATTTGCCCAGGGTCACAGAACCAATAAGTATTCAGAGCTAGGATTCAGACTCCAGTTTCTAGAATTCCAGGACTGGCACTGTTTTTCTCTAAGTGCTGATATTTCTGGATTCCTCCAGGACCCCAGGCACTGTCATGAGCTCTACACATGCACAGTTCCTCTGACCCCTCCAACAGCCCCATGACATAGGCTCTATCGTGACCCTCTTCTCTTTCTTTTTTTGCATCAGGGTCTCATTCTGTTGCCCAGGCTGGAGTGCAGTGGCACGATCACAGCTTGCCGCAGCCTTGACCTCCTGGGCTCAGGTGATCCTCCCACTTCAGCCTCCTGAACAGCTGGGACTACAGGCACGTGCCATCACATCCAGCTAATGTGTTTTGTTGTGTTGTGTTGTGTTTGTAGAGGCGAGGTCTCACTATGTTGCCCAGGCTGGTCTCGGACCCTTGGGCTCAAGCGAACCTCCTGCCTCGGCCTCCCAACGTGCTGGGATTACAGGTATGAGCAGCCCCCATCTTAACAAGGGGAGAAGCTGAGCCACAAGTTCAGTAACTTGCCCAAGGTCCCACGGGCCATGGCAGCGGGATCTGAGCCTGGCAGTTGCAGCGCAGAGTCCAGGCACATAACCCTCACGCCGTCCTGCCCCTCCACAAACTCGTAGCTCCATCTAGAAGGTGATTCTCAAGGGAGAGCCCCACCCCCCACCCAAGTCCCCACCAGCCCCTCACAAATGCGAGCACATCTCCTGCTCTGTTCCCACCCTGCCATGGGAAGAGCTGGGTCTCTTTTTCTTCTCACCCTTAAGACCCAGATGCCAGAGGGCGGCAGCAGCAGCTGGGCTGAGTCCCAATTAACTGCTTTCACCCTGATGCTAATGGCCTTGACTCGCTGGTGAGACAGCCTAGGCATTTTGCAAGGCTGACATATTCCTCCTTAAGTATTTTTTTCAAACACAAACAACGCAGAATGCTCACACACCATGCCCATGTGCTTCCTATTAACTTTTTTTCCCCCCAAGTTGCTCCAGAGGAGAAATAAACTCTCGAACCACTCAGAGCATTTCGGCACAGGAGACGTTGGCGGGGTTTCGTTTTTCAGAGGCTGACTTGAGTTTTAGGCCGTAAAAATGTCGATTTTGTGAAATCGGCCTCTGATTAGAGGCTGGGAGGAGTCTTTTTCCTTTCTAAGAATTAAAATCATAATTCTGTAGAAGTGAAAAGGACCTAGTAAGCCCCACCCTGTCGTTTTACAGATGAGTAAACTGAGGCACTGCAACACAGTGGTTAATGGAAGGTCTCAGAGCGGGTATTAGACAAGCTGGGGTGCCTCCCCCTAGGTCTCCTAGCTGACGTCATTGGCTTCCAGAAACTCCAGCACAGCCGTCACCCCAAAGGGCCCTGGCTGGAGATCTGTATCTGTTTGGATAACTCTGCCCCTCCGACTGTACTAGAAACGTAAAAGAGAAAAGTTCACAGCACTCGTTCGGCCTTCGCATGGCTGTTTATTTTCTTTATTTTAAGTTCACCCTGGGGTTTTTATAACTGAAATCTATTTCTTATGGGTTTGATTTGTGTGTGTGTGTTTCTTTTTGGCTTCTCCTGATAAAATACTGCTTATTCACAGAAATGACTACAAAGATGAAAAGAGAGGGGAAATATATATATCTCGAGAGTGTGTTATAAGAACTTTCTGGTGCCATGGAGGGGTTAAGAGCTCCGGACCTGCACTGTGATCAGTCCTGGCTAGGGAGGTACTTGGACTTCACTGTGCCTCAGTTTCCTCGCCTGTGAAACTGACATCATAGCAAGAGAGCTGACCTCATGCCAGGGGGATACTAAATGAAATGATTCATGGGCACATCAGATGAGATCTTTAAAAGCTTGTTTTCTTTTTATTATTTCTGTCATTCCTTTGGTATCATGGTTGTTAAAAACAATTAAAAGCCCGAATTCTGAACTCACATGGAGTTAACACGCCAGTTCTGCCGTGCACCTGCTGTGTGACCTCGAGCTAAGTTACTTCTCAGGGCCTCAGTTTCTTCCCCTGTGAAATGAGGATACTCATTGTGAGCTCAAGTATGTGAAGTCTTTAGATCGGCGTCTGGCACAAAATAGTTACTCCACAAATGTCAGGTATCGTGACTGTTATTATTACTCTTGTTGTTAGCCTAACTTCAGGTTTTACGGTCCATGTTCTCTCTAAGCTCACTTCTAGTTCCTGAACTCTCAATTTTATTCCATAGTCGTGGTAAGAGAAAAAGCGTGAGGCCGCTGAGCTGTTCACATCAGCATCAATTCCCCTTCCAGTGAACTCTGTGTTATAGGGAGGCTTAAAAACAGAGGCACCCTCTCCAGCAGAAACTCCTTTTCCATTTACCAGAGGCCAGAAATGGTATCACAGAAGCTCAGAAGCCACCACCAGCCAGTCAGGAGCAACCTG